AAACAAATTAAAAAAAATTGGAACTGGTGCTTGCCGTAGTACCAATGCATCTCCTGATCTGTTGGTTGACTTGGTTCCAGATCCAAAAGGAGGATAAAAATTTTTCTAGAACAATAAAATAGATTTATTATGTCTGATGAAAGGTGGAAGAACTTATTTAAGAACAAACAAATTTATTATTTTATCAAATCTTTATTGATTATTTCTGAAAATTACTTTATCAATATCTGTCTGGAATTCTCGTTTAATTAAATGTGGCTAGACTAAAGTTACATGTTTGCTGTATTAAAAAATCGGATGTAATATCTTGAGAATTAAGTAAACATTTTAAAGTAACTGGAAAATTCTCATATTTCCTACAATAATATTTTCTTCTTGTCCATTTATTATTCTCAAAATCCCAACTTTCTATATATCTATCTTTCAAATTGCTGTATAAATAGTTCAAAATCCTCCTTTTGTCAAATATTCAATATTTTCAAATCTATCATATTCAATCCATTCTAAAACTTCATCAATTTTTTTAGCTTTAAGTTGTATTTTCTGAATAAACTTATCAACTTCATGATTTCAACTAGTCCAATTTTTGAAACTTTGTTGAAAATCCTTAGAATTACATGGATTACACTCATAACTCATTAAGCCAATAATTACCAGTATTAAGCTATTTACATTTTTTACATAAACCATACATACTGCTTGTAACGTTTTTTTAGTTCTTCATTTAATATTAACTTATTAATTAACAAACTTTGTTCTTCAGCTGGGTTAAGATAATTAAAATCTTTTATTTGCTCAAATATATTATCGTTAAGCATAAATTCTTCCATATCAGATTTAGATTAATAAATGTGACTTCAATTTTATGTCCAGACAGAATAAAAAAGTTTTTTTTTAAAAAAAAAAGACGCCTTTTAAAACGTATACAGTTGCACAGCAGCAATGACAAAATTATTTTTATTAGGTCAAATCAATAAAGTGCCAGAAAATCACAGATTATTGAGTGAGAAATTTCCTCTTTTATAAATCCCAAACAAAATACTTTCACAAAAAAAAGCTTTGTCGATCATCCAATACCAAAATATTATTTATTAGTACAATTATACTATACTTTACTGAATTTCGAAAAATACAGCACTGTGCGCTCAATCAATATCAGTAACAATGTGTATTAAAATTACTATAATTAGAATCGTGTTAAAATTTTTGGATTAAAAAATTTTTAAAAAAATGTATTATCCAATTAGTTTAGTTGCTTTAAATCTATATTAAACTGAAAGAAATATTTTACCATTATTATATAATGAAGAAAATCCATATTAATAAATGAATTCAGTTGTAATAAAAATAATTATTGACAAAACAATAAATTATTAAAATTTCCATCTATTTTAATACTAATAAAATGAAATTTTATTATAAAACAAATTGTTATTAATGACATACTAAATATTTTCGTAAAATTAAAAATATAATGACTTAATAACGTCAAAAGTAGCTACGCACTAAGATAGTACTGTAATTATCTTATAATTACCACCGCTTCAATTGTTACAAGCTACAGCTCAAACACGTTAAACGAATTTTCTATATTTGTTCTTCCAAATGATGGTTTACTTTCCCTTACTAATTGGTCACATTCATTTTACTGACCAATCATTTCACTTTATAATCATTTTTCTTAATAGGGTTTTGGCCTCCCTTTGAGTTGGATAACTTTATAATAGGATTAACGTAAAATATAATGCAATTTTTTACTTTATTACAATTTTATAACATATTATATACAATTCATTCTATATATTTTTCATATAATTTTATAAATATTACTTTATTTAATCATAAAAATAATTCCAATAAAAATATCATATCTGTAGTAATGTTAAAGAAAATAAATAGTAAATAATAAAGAAATTTATACCCTTCCTTACTATTATTCAGCTGCTTTTATAAGTGAAAAATAAATTATTAAATAATATTACTAATAAAATAAATCATATAAAAGATTAATGTAAATAAGTACCTAGGTCTAGTTTAGTAAAATCTATTGCTTCTATTGATTCTATAATGTAAAAAAAATAATATATATACATCAAATAAAATATTTAAATAATGCTTTTGTAAAGTAAATTAGAAAATTAATTACCTGAATATTCTCCAAATGAATTATCATCATCCTTGTTATCAATAGCATTTTTTGGTTCTGGAAGATTTTTAAAATTTAAAAGCCTACTTGTGTAAACTGCTTGAGGATTTGTAGTATATGAAAGAGTAGGTCCAGTATATAATGATGATGATGATGTCAACTTTTTATTAATTTTATTTGCTTCTTCAATTTGCTTATTGATTTCATGATCTTCACTTGAATATTGTAAATTACGTAATAAATCTTGTAATTTGTTTGCTTTAGGTCGTTTTAAAGGATCAGCATCCCAACATTGTTTAATTATGTTTAGAATTAATTGAGGTATTTTATAATTTGATTTTGGCCTAAGTCCTTGACAAATGCTAATAGCTAAAAATTTATCATGAACAATATCATGGTAAGGAGGGAGCCCTGTACAAACTTCATACGCAATAATTCCAAAACCATAAATATCACTTTCTTGAGTATATTCCTTTCCTCTTAGAACTTCTGGTGCTACATAGGGTAATACTCCATATAATTCTTTACATTCATTTTGGGATGATTTTACATTCGCTGGTCGACATAATCCCAAAACAGTAATAAAAGTAAAATTGTTATCTTTTAATATATTACCACAATGAAAATCGCGATGAATTAATCCTTTTTGATGAATAAAATCAAGGCCTTCTGCAATTGTTTCTAAAATATCCAACTTTTCATACCAATTTGTTGAATTAAAACTATTATTTAAATGTTGTCTTAAACTACCATCTTTTGCATATCCCATTACCATCATAAAATTTCTAGATTCTGGATCTTTAGTAACGCCATAACACCATGATGTTAAACTATCATAATATCCTGAAAAAAACACATGTGTTTCAATCTAAAAAAGAATCCATAATAACAATAATTAATAGATAGTTTAACATTTATAATAGGACAATATCTTGAAATTATATACAAAATAATTAACTTACTTCTCTTAAAAAATCGGATGTAATATCTTGAGAATTATATAAACATTTTAAAATAACTGGAAAATTCTCATAATGCCTACAATAATATTTACTTCTTATCCATTTATTATTTTCAAAATCCCAATCATATATATATCCATCTTTCCAAATTGCTTCATAAATAGTTCCAAATCCTCCTTTTGTCAAGTATTCAACATTTTCAAATCTATCATATTCAATCCATTCTAAAACTTCCTTATGATTTTTAGCTTTAAGTTGTGCTTTTTGAATAAACTTATCAACTTCATGATTTCCACTAGTCCAATTTTTAAAATTTTGTTGAAATTTACATTGATACCAATTATGGGGAGCCTTAGGTTGCTTACATTCTTTGCATAAACCATTCCGTTTATAACTTATTTTTAATTCTTCATTTAATATTAACTTATCAATTAACAAACTTTGTTCATTGGTTAGATTCTGATGGTCAAAATCTTTTATTTGCTCAAATACATCATCATTGAGCATAAATTCTTCCATATTGGATTAATAAATGTAACTTCAATTTTATGTCTAGACAGAATAAAAAGGATTTTTTTTTTCTAAAAAAAAAAGACGCCTTTTAAAATGTATTACAGTTACACAGCAGCGATTGACAAAATCATTTTTATTTAGGTCAAAACAATAAAATGTTCAATAAGTCAGCTGATGATCACAAAAATCACAGATTATTAGGAAATTTCCTTTTTTATAAATCCCAAACAAAATACTTGTTTCACAAAAAAAAAAGCTTTGTCGATCATCCAACATCAAAATATTATTTGTTAGTACAATTATAATATTATATAGACAGTCAATCAATATCATTATCAGTAACAATGTGCATTAAAATTACTATAATTAGAATCATGTTAAAATTTTAGGTTAAAAAATTTTTAAAAAAATGTATTATAGTTACATAAAACTAAAAGGAAATATTTTACCATTATTATATGAAGGAAATTCATATTAATGAATAAATTCAGTTGTAATATAATTCGTCATTAAAGTAGGTAATACTTATAAAAATTTCAAACTGCTTGTAAATAAAAAAATAATTATTTATACAAAATAATAAATTATTAAAATTTCTATCTATTTTAATATCATTTTTCCTAATAACATGAAATTTTATTATAAAACAAATTATTATTAATGAATAATAATGACATATTAAATATTTTCTTCAAAAAAATCAAAAATATAATAATTTAATAACGTCAAAAGTAGTTACGCTCAAAGGTACTGTAATTATCTTATAATTACCACCACTTCAATTGTTACAGGCTCAAACACATTAAACGAATTTTCTATATTCACTTCAAATTTATATTATTCTTCCCAATGATGGTTTACTAATGGGTCACATTCATTTTACTGACCAACCATTTCACTGACCCTATAATCATTTTTCTTAATAGGTTTTTGGCCTCCCCTTGAGTTGGATAAATTTATAATAAGATTAACATAAAATATAATATAATTTTTACTTTGTTACAATTTTATAACATATTACATACAATTCATTCTATTTATATTCATATAATTTATAAATATTACTTTATTTATCATAAAAATACATTCCAATAAAATATCATATCTGTAGTAATGTTAAAGAAAATAAATAGTAAAATAATAAAGAAATTTATACCCTTCCTTGCTTTTATTCAGCTGCTTTTATCTATAAGTGAAAAATAAATTATTAAATAATATTATTAATAAAATAAATCATATAAAAGGTTAATGTATATAAGTACCTAGGTCTAGTTTTGTAAAATCTATTGCTTCTGTTGATTCTATAATGTAAAAAAAAATAATATATATACATCAAATAAAATATTTAAATAATGCTTTTGTAAAGTAAATTAGNAAATATGTTATTTGATTTAAATACCAGTGCAGGTAAAAATTATCAATGGAAAATTGGGGATCTAGGATTATCACAAGAAATAAATAATGAATCATCAAATAATGAGATATATGGAATTATACCTTACATTGCACCGGAAATATTTAAGGGGTCTTCATTTTCTAAAAAAGCTGATGTCTATAGTTTGGGTATGGTTATGTGGGAACTTACAACAGGTTGTAAACCTTTTGATAATGTTAAACATGATCATAATCTTATTTATAACATTCTTGATGGTGAACGACCCAAAATTACAGAAGATACACCAGAATGTTATGCTAATTTAATGAAAAGTTGTTGGAATCCTGATCCAACAAAAAGACCTTCTATAAAAGATATTCGTTTAACTTTTGGTAGATGGACTTTTAAAGGTAAAAATAAAGCAGAATTTATTCAAGCTGAAACAAAAAGAATGGAACTTATACAATCAAAGAAGCTTGGACCAGAATTTGCTGAAAAACGACATTCAGAAGCCAATTATATAAGTAGGCCATTAAGCGCTTTAATTTCTAAATGTTTATCCACAAATTCATCATCAATTTCAATTGGTAATAAAAAAGGTATTAATAAAGAAAAATCTATTGTAAATAAAAATACTACTTAATCTTAAAAGTTAAAACACACGTTATCTTCCTTAGATTCTAATTATATTTATGTTTCGGAAGAACAAGAGTTTGATATAGACATTGAAAGGTATTTTCATTGTAAATGGTAGTACGATGTTTACTAATTAATTAATTGACACTAATTTATTATTTAGTTCATCATCACAAAATTTAAGTTTAAAAATTCAAAATATTTCAACCTCTTTTAAAAAGCGAAACATTGAAGAATTAAATCTTGAAATCGATGGTAAATATCAATCTTTGTCGGTGTATATTTTGATTTTTTGTATGTATATTTTATTTTAACCAAATCTAAAATTTTTAAAGTAGGAAAACGTATTAAAACTAGTTAAATTAATTATTGAATTTCGGTTATTACCCCAGAAGCTGAATAATCGTCGTAGAAAACAATTGTTTGTATTTGTAAATGAGTATATCCTTACTCGCGGTACAGTCATGTGCATTTTACTGCGGAATCTGCGGATTTTGTAGATATCTCTCAGTCCGGCAAAATTGTAGATTAGATTTAATAACAGGTAATACAGGTCAAATATCAGACACGGTGTAACATTTTGTCAATCCATGCTTGATTTTTCACCCGCCCAATGCCTGATAGTTTAGTCCAACTCGGCTTGCCATAGTTTTTTCATTTAATTGTTAAACATTAGAATGTTGCCATGTTGTCAAAAAAAAATACTACAAAATATTTTTATTAATTAAATTATAAAATATTTTATAATTATTTCTTATTATTTTATATTACGTCAATCTTAAACTTATAACCAACTTGGGAAAAGTATTTGAACGATTAAATGTATTAGAAAGATGTGTATAAGAGACAGGTATAAATTCTTCCATATTGGATTAATAAATGTGACTTCAATTTTATGTCTAGACAGAATAAAAAAGATTTTTTTTTTTTTAAAAAAAAAAAGACGCCTTTTAAAACGTATTACAGTTACACAGTAGCGATTGACAAAATCATTTGTATTTAGGTCACAACAATAAAATGTTCAATAAGTCAGCTGATGATCACAAAAATCACAGATTATTATGAAATTTCCTTTTTTATAAAACCCAAACAAAATACTTGTTTCACAAAAAAAAAGCTTTGTCGATCATCCAAACCCCAAAATATTATTAGTACAATTATACTTATATTATATAGGTACTTTATTGAATTTTGAAAAAATACAGTACAGTCAATCAATATCATTATCAGTAACAATGTGTATTAAAATTACTATAATTATCGTGTTAAAATTTTAGGTTAAATTTTTAAAAATGTATTATAGTTGCATAAAACTAAAAGGAAATATTTTACCGTTATTATATGAAGGAAATTCATATTAATGAATAAATTCAGTCATAATATAATTCGTCATTAAAGTAGGTAATATTTATAAAAATTTCAATCTGCTTGTAAATAAAAAATAATTATTATGATAAAACAATAAATTATTAAAATTTCCATCTATTTTAATATCATTTTTCCTAATTTTATTATAAAACAAATTGTTATTAATGACATATTAAATATTTTCTTCAAAAAATTCAAAAATATAATAATTTAATAACGTCAAAAGTAGTTACGCTCAAAAATACTGTAATTATCTCATAATTACCACCGCTTCAATTGTTACAGGCTCCAGCTCAAACACGTTAAACAAATTTTCTATATTCACTTCAAATTTATTTATATTACTCTTCCCAATGATGGTTTACTTTTCCTTGCTAATGGGTCACATTCATTTTACTGACAATCATTTCACTGACCCTACAATTATTTTTCTTAATAGGTTTTTGGCCTTCCCATGAGTTGGATAAATTTATAATAAGATTAACATAAAATATAATATAATTTTTTACTTTGTTACAATTTTATAACATATTACATACAATTCTATTTATATTCATATAATTTATAAATATTACTTTATTTAGTATCATAAAAATACATTCCAATAAAATATCATATCTGTAGTAATGTTAAAGAAAATAAATAGTAAAATAATAAAGAAATTTATACCCTTTCTTACTTTTATTCAGCTGCTTTTATCTATAAGTGAAAAATAAATTATTAAATAATATTATTAATAAAATAAATCATATAAAAGGTTAATGTATATAAGTACCTAGGTCTAGTTTGGTAAAATCTATTGCTTCTGTTGATTCTATAATGTAAAAAAAAATAATATATATACATCAAATAAAATATTTAAATAATGCTTTTGTAAAGTAAATTAGGAAATTAATTACCTGAATATTCTCCAAATGAATTATCATCATCCTTGTTATCAATTGTATTTTTTGGTTCTGGAAGATTTTTAAAATTTAAAAGCCTACT